AAGACCCTTACTCGAACCATAGACAAAGCCGCCTTCGAAGTCTACGGCGTGAACATTCGGATCAAGCCCCCTCTGAAAATCGAGACTCCCTACGGAGGCCGTTTGGTGTGGACTCTGCCCGGACGCACCAAGATGGTGGCTCACCTCAAGAACAAGGACAAGATCCGGCACAAGAAACGCTGGTCGCAGGTCATGTACATGTACTATCTGCTGGGGTATCGGATTATGGAGACGGAGCAGCTGTCGCCGCGTCGGAAGGCGGTCATCGCCGAGAACACCTTTATTTTGGCCCTGGATGGGGACATCGACTTCCAGCCGAGGGCCGTGCAGCTCCTGATCGATCGCATGAAGGCCGTGGACGAGCTGGGAGCCGCCTGCGGGCGGATCCACCCGGTGGGCAGGGGCCCGATGGTGTGGTACCAGCGCTTCGAGTACGCCATCGGCCACTGGCTGCAGAAGGCCACAGAGCACGTGATCGGCTGCGTGCTGTGCAGCCCAGGCTGCTTTAGCCTCTTCCGGGCCAGCGCCCTGATGGACAACAGCGTGATGAAACGGTACACGATGGTCAGCTCGGAAGCCATGAAGATGGTGCAGTACGATCAAGGTGAGGACCGCTGGCTCTGCACCCTGTTGCTGAAGGCCGGCTCCCGGGTGGAGTACTGCGCCGCCTCGGATGCGTACACCCACGCGCCCGAGAGCTTCAACGAGTTCTACAACCAGCGACGTCGGTGGGTGCCCTCCACTATTGCCAATATCTTCGACATCCTGGCTGACGCGGAAACGGTGGTGAAAAAGAACAACTCGATATCCACGATGTACGTGTGGTATCAGGGCATGTTGATGATTGGAACCGTGCTGGGACCGGGCACCATATTTCTCATGATGGTGGGTGCTTTGGTGGCTGTTTTTTCGATCGACATCTGGACCGCCTTCCTTTGGAACTTCTTTCCCATTATCTTCTTTATACTGGCCTGTGTTTACCTGAAGCAGAAGTTTCAACTGCTGATAGCCTTCGTGATTAGTGCGATTTACTGCCTGGTCATGATGGCTGTCCTCATCGGCATTATTGTGCAGATGCTGGAGGACGGACCCTTGGCTCCCGCGTCGCTTTTCTTTCTGCTCGTCGCTGTGCAGATCACAATTGCAGGTAAGGGTCGGTTGGGAAGGGAGGGCTATAATTTGGGAAATCTAATTATAACTTTTTCTCCTGCTCTTCAGGCTTCATGCATCCGCAGGAGTTCTGGGCCTTGCTGTGCGGCGTAATTTACTACATTACCATTCCCTCGATGTACATGTTGCTCATGATCTTTTCGGTGTTCAACATGAACGATGTCTCGTGGGGCACTCGAGAGGCACCTGTGCTCAAGGACGACGACAAGGACGCTCCCAACGATGCGGACAACTATTTGCCGGGCTGGCTGAACGATCCACTGCTAATCAACTCGGAGCTGGGTGAGGTGGCGCTGGCGGAGCAACGGTTCTGGAAGGATGTGATCAAGCAGTACCTAAAACCACTGGAACTAAGTCGCGAGCAGAAGCAGGCGATGGCCGACGGGCTCAAGGAGCTCAGGAACATGATCGCCTTCGCCTTCGTGATGGTGAATGCGATCTTTGTGCTGATCGTGTTTCTGCTGCAGTTGAAGAAGGAGTTCCTCCACCTCAAGTGGCCCATCGATCCCACGGACTTCGTGTCCTTCGACAGGGACAACTTGATGGTCGGCATCTACAGACAGTATAAGGAACTGGATCCCATCGGCCTGTGCTTCGTGCTCTTCTTTGGGTTGATCCTCATCATCCAGTTCCTGGCGATGTTCTTCCACCGCTTCGCCACCCTGTGTCAACTGCTGGCCACCACCAGAGTGGACTGGTTCCGATCCGGAGGTCAGTTTACGGACGAGGATGCGGCCACCGAGCTGAAGGGCTGTGCGGTGAGTATAGCCCGGAAGTTGCAACGCCCCAAAAGGCTCTTTGAGGATGACGAGGAGGGGGATCACCACTACGATGAGCTGATGATGGACGGCGCGGAGGGGGAGCACAGGGAGAGCATGGTGCGTCGGCAGACAATCTTCCGACTGCACGAGACCCGGAACAAGCAGCCCAGTGACTACAGCAACTTGGTGCTCAACTTCAAGCGTCGCTTCTTCGGCGATGACGAGCTGAACCTGAAGAATCTGGCCCTCAACCGCAAGTCCGTTAAGCTGCTCCAGGAGCGGCGCTCAGAGGCCAAGGTCAACGCAGCCACCACGCCCGGAGGCACGCCCACTCCGAAGGCTGGCAAGCGTCCGCCCCTGGTCCCCAAGAAGGTTAGCTTCTCGGCTTCAAATGGGAACAGCATGGCCACCTACGACAACGGCAGCTACGAGCACACCGAGTTCTAGAATGGATCGATCGGATCCCTCAAGTATTATCCAGAGAATCTTCTTATTGTACTGTACTCAATGTCTAACGGGGTGTTTTAGATATCTCTTAAAGCGTGTTATAAGTGTGGAGTTTAACAGTCTCTTATGGTTTTTCTTTAAATCTCTTTCAAAATATCTTTTAAGAATTTAAATGTTTGTGTCCATTTCCTCTTCTATCTTTCTTGAGATGTTGAAATAATACCTAAATCGTGCTTGTCATAATTCACACCTGAATTAACATATTTTAACCTCTAGAGTTTTTAAGATACCCCTGTATATCTCTATATATTTATGCAATTATATAATCGAATCCCCAAGGGCCTTGGTGGCAGAAAAAATATAATTAATTGCATTTAACTCAAGTGGCAGAGGCAGCCAAGTCTACTTCCCTTCTAACTGAAGACATCTCATTAGCATAATTACCAGATGCAGGCGAGGGCAGTGGGCGGTACGGAGGGGCGGGTGGGCTCCTTCATTCATCAATGTCGGGGCAACGCTTAGAGTTAAGTGCTGCTCGTGGTGGCGATGCGCTTTTTGCTCGGAAAGTTCTCGCTCCTCTTCGTTACAAAATGCAAATCAAAGTGTGATTAGCTTGGATTTGATGAAGTTTCTGCAGCAATGCACAAGTTTCCTTCGCCGCGCCCACTCGCTGCTGGTGTGTGTGCGCGGGGGCGTGGCAAGGTGTCGGCGTAAGTGTTTTGTAAGTGAATTTTTCACTGCCTGGACAAAAAGAGAGCGAAGTGACAGGCGGGCAAGGAAGGGGGAGGAATCCTCGCGCCAAGGACTGGCAGGACCTACTTTGGCAGTGCGCATACATTAGGGGCAGGAGGCGAGGCAGGCGAGCAGGAAGGGCAGCAGCAGCCAGGACGAACTTATGGCCGCAGGATGTGGGTTGTCTTTGGTTTGCAAAGTGCTGAAGCGCAAGATTAAAAGGAACGAATGCACGGCATGTAAGAACACGACTAAGTAATGAATTCGGTTGGTCGAATGGAAGGGAAATATCGATTCGATGGTACCCGATAGTCCAGAAGTTGTGCAAAACTTTGTTGGCACTTCGCAGCTACCGATTGCTGTGGTGCTGACCCAAACTGGGCACAAAGAATCGGAATTCAGAACCGGTATCAATTAATTGGGAACTCTTTGATGCCCAGACTGAAGTGCATTCAACCAGTTGGAAAAATAACAAAACCAGATATTTACATATTCATTTCAAACAATTTCAGAGTTGAACAGGCTTTTGCGTTTGTGCATTTGCCAGTGGCAAGGAAAAGCTCCAGAAAATCGACTATAGTAGTAGAGAGTTATGATGCTTTCCTACAGCTTCATCAGAAGAAACCCCACTATATAATATTCCGCTCGACTTGACATTTGTTTTCTGCCAGTGGCCTACTTGGCGTATGCGTAATGTTCTTGGCTTCTTACTCGCTTCGAGGCATATAAATTTTACCAGCTCTTGCGACCTGGGGTCAGAAGTGGAATAAAACCAAGCAAAATCCAGTCATAAACAATGGCTGTATTCGATTGAAAAACTTGTGCCAGTTTTTTGTGGGGCCAAAGGAAAGCAGGGACATAATTTTGCACTTATCTGACCCCAGGCAGCCCCACCCAGACCAAACCGAAGCAGCCAGGCCACTAACCCCGCCTCTTCAGAGGCCTGTTGCCATTTGGTATTGTATTTTATGGCATTTCTATGCATTGCAAAGGCAATCGAGGACAATACACAGTGCACGACAGGGTGGGGGACATTGGGCAGGGGGCAGGAGGATCGTTGGTTGAGGCAACTGTGCTGAAGCTGCAACAAAGCTGAAACAAAACTTTTTAATGTCATTTAATTATGAAAATAATTCTGTGTCCGGGTGTCAGTCCTGCTCTTTGTTATGGCTTTTTCTGCTGTTTCCCGGAATTTATTCCGGATATGCTGAACTCATGGGAGCGTTTTTAAGGTAAGTTAGCTTACATTTCATAGGTCATCTGAAAGTCGTTTCCCTGATTGCAGCTGCTGCTGCTCTTTGAAAATAATTAAATGAAAGGCTGCAGGATAGTTGAGCACAATATGCAGTGATTATGCGCTCGTCGGAATTCTCTGTTAATTTGCGGGAACGAGCGGGCCGGGGCTTCCCATTGAAATAAACAAGTCGACATTTTCAGCAGTTAATTAATATTTGAAAAAGCCTGTTATTTATGGGTATTTTTCCAGTGCTTCAACTTTGGCTGAGTGGCAATAATATTTGATGGGTAATTCACTGTAGAAAAAAAAAGTTGTGTTTCCATTAAAGTGGAGTGATTGCATCGAGGGGTTTTCGCGCTACCTGGCACACCATCACTACCCAAACGCAATGCTTCAATGGCCCAGCAAACACCAAGCGCTAGATAGCGCTTTCCCGTCGCTTGCTCCACTTGATAAGCCGCTCGGATTCTCTCCGGTCCAATGTTTGTCACAATCAGACCGGCCCAGAGTGAAAGAGCTGTTTTGATTGATAACATTTTCAGAGAGAGGCCGCGTCAGGGAGACCGCCATACACGAAATTTTAATCGCAATCGCAGTGAACACTTACAATTACACATGTTTGCCCCACATTATCTCGACCAGCGACCAAAGCGGTCAGTCCGTTGGTTCGCCTCAGTAGAACTTGTCGGGCCTTGCGGTGCAGTTCCGTGTGCCTTCTGTGATTCGCAGCAGATCCGTTGAACCCCTTACAGTATATACCCGTATTCCCCGCGAACTCGATCCTGAGGCCAACTGCCAAAAATGCTGCGCAACAGCTTTCACCTGGCCCAGAGCCTGCGCAACAGCTTCTCCAGGAACGCCTGGCGAGCGGTCAGCTCCCATGGACCCCGACAGCCAGTGAGTGGGGTTATATAACCTGAGTGCGGTGACAGTGATTTTACGACTCGTCTAATGCCGATGGAAAAGTTCTTGAATGCAAAGTCCGTCTCGGTGTTGTGCCAGTGCAAATGGACCTTTGGTTGCTGATCAAACGTTATCAGTTCTTTGTGTTCAGGTCAGGAGAATCAATTAAGCAGTGACAAAACCGGTTGGAAACTGGTTCTGGGTAGGAAACCTTTGTAGATATTTCTGTGTGGGCTTCTTGTTTCCCTTACTGTGTTTTCGATGGCCCTAATCACAACAAAGGACATTTTTGGGCCACTGAATCATAAATGCACTATCTTATCTATATTGGTCATGCCTTTTTTTTTATAATTTTAAAGTCCACCCTATTCAACATACGTACGTATTTATAAAGAAATATACTTAACAAGCTATTAAGAAATTGACAGCCTATTGACCGATAAGCTTTTTTTTATGTTGATTTCATGGGAAGGAAAAATTATAATCATGACAATTGAGCGTGAAGCCATTGCTTTGGGTTTCTGGGTCCCCTGTGCTGTGAATGTAATGGAAACTATGGGAACCATTTGTTCTTACAAGAATCCTTAATTGAACAGCCTTAAGTATCAATTTCAACCGGTTTTGGAGTCGATTCTGTTTTTGCTTGTGTGCTTTCATAAAGTGGCAGGGAACAAGCTTAAAGGAATGTCTCGTACAGCTTTATCAAAAGAAAAACAATTATATTTGCCCAACACATTCCGCTCGACTTAGCCAATGGCCTATATGGCGTATGCGTAATGTTCTTGGCTTTTTATTTGGTTGGAGGCATCTAGAACCCATTAGTTCTTGCGAACTGGGGTCAGTACTGGAATAAAACAAAGAAATTCAAACCATAAACAGTGGCCCAATACGATTAAAAAACTTGTGCCAGTTTTTGTGGGGCTGAAGAAAAGTGGGACCTGCAAGTTGGCAACGAATGGGAAATGACGGTACCCCAGGCCATGACGACTGAGCGTGAAACCATTGTCTTTGGGTTTCTGGGTCCCCTGATAGACTGATAAGGCTGAGGGCACGATGAGCAACAATTTGCTGGGTCTCACCAAGTACCTTTAACAGTATAGTGCTGATTGGGGGAGTACCTCAACTAAATAGCTGCTTAAAGTTTTCCACGCCACTCATGTCTTATCGGAGTCCAATTGCAGCAATAACACTCGAAAGACTCCACTCTATGTTCTTTATGGCTGACCAACAACAGCTTGAAAGGGTTTCGACGTATCCCTAAACCAGGCCATAAACTGGGACAAAAAGGCCATCAAAAACGGGGACCGGCTAATTGAATGAGCATCGATCGAAGGACTCTCGGCTCTCGGAGCTGTAAATCATTTACAGTTTCGGTTTGATTTCCACGAACATGGAAACCAGTCGAGTAGTGGGGAGCTGGAAAAGTGCCCGACAAGCTGATAAAATGTTGTCACAGCATGACAGCTGCTGGACCGTGCCAGAGTACTGGGTCGGGCGAATGCAAAAACGTGTTCAAATAAATTCTAAAAGTGTAAATATTGTATTTCATCGGGACGAGCGGGGTGTGAAGCGACGGAAGAGGTCGGCTTTACAATAAACTTAAAACCCCTTTAAATATGCAACATTTGCGTTGCTTGCCCTTCGGCAAGGACTGTGTCCTGCCCTCAGGCTCCCTCCACGCCGCATTTGCATATGTCCGACATCGGGCCCAGCCTTTGACACCCGGAACGATTTGCCTAGGTCAGGGTCGTTTTCCCTTTTCCCCTTTCCCACTCGGCGCCACCTCCCCATGACTCACATCATTTTGACACGTGCTGGCAGTTATGGCGCCTTCGGTCTCGGTCTGGACTCCCTTTTCGAGCTGTGCGTGTGCCAGGCACATCATAAAAAAATGGAGCAAGCCATGTGGGAACCCTTCGTTCACCCGACTGTGGGATACCCAGCATTCGATTCGTGAGAAATCAAAAGAGCGCTTTTGTTGAGTGCAAAGGGGTCTCCACTATTAAATATTTACCAAAGTAATATTATTTGGAGGATTGAATAAAAATTGAATTTTATTTTGGATAAATTCTTTAAAAATAATATGTGCCCTATGTAATTCCGAGCTCAGAGGAATGTATATACCCTTGTACCAAACAATTTATAAGTGAAAAAATCACTTAGAACCACTTTCTTAATATCCAGTTAAGCCTAACGTTTACAAGAAGCTTAATAAATTAAATTAAGGCATTTGTCCATATATTGTAATTTAAATAGGACCTTTACCACGTTATTTTTTATTGCTTTAAATACAGGCATTTTCTTGAGATTGTATTACCGCCTATCGAATATGAACAAGAGAGAACGCTATAGTCGGGTGCCCCGACTATCAGATACCCGTTACTCAGGTAAAGGGAGTGCGAGGGAGATGGAGATAGAAACTTTGGTCACGCATAACTTTTTAACGAATGGTCCGATTTGAAAAATTTCGATAGGTATTGATAAACACAATAAAACTACATTTTTACTTTTCCGAAATATTTAAATTTTTTAAATCGTATATAAGCGATTGTGGGCGTTTGAGGGGGCTTGGCACCTTTTTGAAACAAACTTGCGCTGCGTAGGAGCTCCTAGAATCTGCATGCAAAATGCCAATCTTCTAGCTTTTATAGTTTCCGAGATCTCAGCGTTCATACGGACAGACAGACGGACAGACAGACGGACAGACGGAGAGACGGAGAGACGGACAGACGGACATGGCTAGATCGACTCGGCTAGTGATCCTGAACAAGAATATATATACTTTATAGGGTCGGAAACGCTTCCTTCTACCTGTTACATACTTTTGCACGAATACAATATACCCTTTTACTCTACGAGTAACGGGTATAAAAATACATATTTTCAAATATCTATAGATTTGATAAGCCCACAACAAATATTTTCCTAATACTTCAATTTAATGTATGTCCGACTCCAACTCTAATACACCCTTGTACTTTTTGAGTACCAGGTATAATTCCAAAAAAAATTGCCAAAATATATAGAAACCGAAACATGAAGCATAGGGAAACAAGCGTAAACAAATCACGAAAGGCAGCCAGCGACAAGGGGCGGCATTGTATCAGGGGGCCCACGAACATCATCGCCGACATCTGTCGAGGGCTGCGGGAGATCTACAAGCTTGGGCCGGACTGTAGATAAGAGTGAAACCTGGAAAGAGCCACAACTCATGTATGTTGGAAGAGACAGCATTAATTGCTCAGCAATTACGCGGAGTGTCATCGCATTTGACAGGCCTCAGACACTGTTCCGACGGGAGGTGGGGCAGCCGATTCTTGCCACTATCAGTGATTCGATTGGAAAACAATTGAACTGCGAGCTGAGGCCTGAGGCCCGAGGCCCGAGGCTACTCCGGACCTTCGACTAATTGCTGGCAAAACCAAAAATAGGTTTTACAGCGGCGTGTGGGCCAGACACAGTCATAAACATATTTTTTTGTTTTGCTTTTGGATTTCTTTGCGATAGTGATAACAAGCGGTGACCGGGAGAACAATTAAATGAAGTAAATAAACAAAGCATTTGTGATTGCCAACGTACGTTTTTATTTAGCTGCACTTGACACTTGCCATCACAATTGTCAGACGAATGTAACGAAATCAAAATATTTACGCCTCGAATTGAGTTGATTTTTCTGAAATAATTGACACGACAAATGCGATGAGTTATATGAACAAAAAAACCTCTGATTTGATGTTATTGCGCCTGAAAGGCAATCAAAGCTACCACCCAAACAAGGTTGAGAAGCATGGGGAGAAAAAAGAAAAGGAAAAGCTAATAAAAATACTTTTGATTGATGGATGAGAGAGGTGGGCTGATGAGCTGCAGCTGTTGGGGTAGGAAAATAAAATTTGTTGTTTGCTCGGCTGTTATCTCAACAGTTATCTCGACGCCGGCCAAGTTTTATACTATTTTTGTACCCTTGCAAATGTGGGTATAATATCTATTGGTCAAAAGTTACAAAGTTTAAAAGTTATCCTCCCTCATAGTTGATACTTCCGTCTTAAGCTTTTTATTAAATCACGTTTGAAAACCCTACTAAAAAAGTCGAGTATTTGAAAAAGCCAATAAATTGTATAAAAATGATTGATTTTAATAACAGAGTAGATCAGGCCATTTCCAAGAAAGTTGTTATAAAATATAGTTTTTGATAAGTTAGAAAGTAATGAGTACTTCAAAGTCGTGGCTCTCAACTACAGCGTCTTTTCTTGTTTTGTAATGTTCTTAATGCCCTTAGAAACGGTTTATTTGATGTCCACGGAAAAGAATCCACCATCAAATATTTTTAGACTTTCCCGCATATCCAAGAGTTTGCAGAAACCTTTTTTATCAAATCAATCAGAAGTATGCTTTTTACCTTTGGTTCCCGGAAGAGTAAATTCGAGGAAAGCAAATTCAAAACACTTCAATTTACAGATTAAAGCCATTTTAATTAGAGCAAGTCGTGCACAAGAAGATATGAATATTTTTTAATGGTCCGATGTTGGAATTGTAAAATTCAATTAGCCGTAATTTAAAATTGATTATGCACTGCGTGTCGGACTAACTGACTTTTTGACCACGCGCCGCTGGCTAAAAAACCAATTAACACACATAATGATTATTAGAAATTTGAATAAGGCCACCAGGGAAGGGACTCTGGTGTTGCAGTTTTGCTGATTACAAACAGATTAGGTGCATTCGACGGGAACTGTTTAATTAATTGGATTGCCATTTATGCTCGATTCGTTGTTTTTATGGCTTACGTTGGTGCTGTCGCAATTTATGACCTCCCCCTAGTTTTGTTTTCGATTGGCGTTTGTATGGGCGATAAGACAGTGTAAGTGGCCTAGAAGCAGGTGCCTAATAGCCTACGATCTTTTCCAGCTGGTGTCCCCGGAGCGACGACTGGAGAAGGCGCACCCCACCTTCACGGAGCGCAGTCAATTGAAGTACGCCCGGAGGCTGGTGGTCAAGCTGGGCAGCGCGGTCATCACCCGCGAGGACAACCATGGACTAGCCCTGGGGCGACTGGCCTCCATCGTGGAGCAGGTAAGATTTGAGGCGAATCTATTCTACTGAGTTCCACTCCCCAGGGATATGCATTAATTGTGTTATGATGATAAACATCTGTTATAATATTATTATTGATGAAACTGTTGCGTTGGGTTCACAAAATCAATACATATATTATATATTCGTGGTAATATTAATATATTATTGAAATTTCTATACATCAGGTTGCCGAGTGCCATTTGGAGGGTCGTGAGGTGATGATGGTCACCAGTGGAGCGGTGGCCTTCGGAAAACAGAAGCTCGCCCAAGAGCTGCTCATGTCGCTGTCGATGCGCGAGACCCTCAATCCGAAGGACAGCAAAGAGGTAGCCGCTGCTAGAATAAGCCAAGTTTGTAGCTCTCAACCGACTATTTTGCTCTCCGAAATTAGTTCGATGGCGCCACGCTGGAACCGCGGGCGGCGGCTGCGGTGGGTCAGTCTGGCCTGATGTCCCTCTACGACGCGATGTTCGCCCAGTACGGCGTGAAGATAGCTCAGGTGAGTCCGGGCCACGGCCACCCACTAATTAGAGCACACAGATTTGAGTGAGCCGTGATGGCTGTTTGGGCTTAGGTGCTGGTGACCAAGCCGGACTTCTACAACGAGGAGACACGCAACAATCTCTTCTGCACGCTCTCCGAATTAATTAGCCTTAATATTGTGCCAATCATAAATACCAACGACGCCGTCTCCCCGCCGATGTTCATACGTGACGACGAGCCAGCCGGCGGCGCCAGGAGGGTGAGTTGGATTCCCAGCCTCTGGCACGTGACCAGGTTGACTGCCCCCATTCCCTCCATTTGTCCAGGGCATTCCCATTAAGGACAACGACAGCTTGTCTGCCATGCTGGCCGCCGAGGTGCAGGCGGATCTGCTAATCCTCATGTCGGATGTCGATGGCATCTACAACAAGCCGCCGTGGGAGGATGGGGCCAAGCTGATGCACACCTACACCAGCGACGACACCAACACCATCGAGTTCGGCAAAAAGTCAAAGGTAATCCACTGGCCGCCCAGCCCCGATTCCCCCTGGTGATCCTAACCCACTTACACTTATCCGACCCTTTCAGGTGGGCACCGGCGGCATGGACTCCAAGGTGAAGGCGGCCACCTGGGCCCTGGACCGAGGTGTCAGCGTGGTCATCTGCAACGGCATGCAGGAGAAGGCCATCAAGACCATAATTGGCGGCCGGAAGGTGGGCACCTTCTTCACGGAGGCCACCGAGAGCGCCAACACGGTGCCCGTCGAGGTGATGGCCGAGAACGGTGAGTGGACCGCAGAGAAAATGGCTTACAGCCAAAGCGAAAGGATAATGACGGAGAATGATGTGGCTAGACAATGAAAAGAGGCTTGGGCGAGCACTCAGCTCTCAAGTGGGGCGCATAATTAGCGGTTTTGAACGGAACAGCCTTCCCCCACTTCGATGGCCAATCATCCGGTGCGACGCTTTAAGCCAGCTCTGGCTCACTCAGATATTAATGTGTCGAGGCGGGAAGATGGCTGAGGGTAACAGCGAATGACAAGGCTAATGGCCATCACGGCTTACACCAGCTAAACAATTTCAAGAGGGGCGTGCAGAAAGGGGAGGGAAAGGAGAGTGGGTCAGCAAGTCTGTGTGCTGGGTCTGGAGCACTCTATGTGGGGAGCGGGAGTGCTGTAGCTATTTTAAGTCGGGCGAATTTAATTTAATTGTTAGGGCTAACTGCAGCAGCTGGCCGAAAGTGCCTGTTAATTAGGCAGATGCAACTTGTTTCTCAAACTGCCCTTCTCTCTTCCAGCGCGTACCGGGAGTCGCCAGATGCAGGCCCTAACCCCCGCCCAGAGGGCCAGTGCCGTCAACACCCTGGCCGATTTGCTGGTGAGCCGCGAGAAGTTCGTCCTGGAGGCCAACGCCAAGGACCTGGCGGAGGCCCAGAAGAACGGACTGGCCAAGCCGCTGCTGTCGCGTCTCTCGCTCAACTCGGCCAAGCTGAAGAACTTGTCCGTTGGCCTCAAGCAAATCGCCGAGGACAGTCACCAGGTAAGCGAACTTAATTACTGGCCACTTTCCGGAGCGGTGGCCCAGGGATCTGGCTGCTGACCCCTGAAAGGTTCGGGCAAATTGCATTTGTTGCAGTGTCGAAAAGTCAGCCCCAAATTGAGTTAGTCCGGGCCCGGCGCTGGGATTTGTCTGCCTGGCAAAATGGCCATTTCATGAGCTCCAACAAAAGCGGACTTGGAGAGCCATATGCAGTTTCCAGAGCTTTAACAGCATTATGAAATCTCCAAGCAATTTTACACTTCAACAAAAATTGACACCCCAGTCGGAGGAGCCCAAGCTGCAAGGCACTCGATGCTCGACCGGCTGGTGACCTAACCGGTCTGCCCAGGGAGTAGCCATCGAAGCGGTCTAATACGCCCGGAAGTTCGCCGGACGGGATGGCAGCTAAGCAAGTGGAAGATAAAAGACAGTTTCTTGTATGCGCTTTCGTTTGGTGTCTTGCCAGTGACATTAGCCCGCATCCTGGCCCTGGTCCTGGCCCGGCCCTGCCCTTATCCCCTTTTAGCGCCAGACAGAGTTGATCGAATATCGCCGGGGAGGATGGGGCTGGGGCTGGGGCCACCCTCCCAAGCCAACCATTTTATTGGATGTGATTGTGCGGAAACGCAGAAAGTTTTCCCCATGTTTTTTTCTGAAAAAAAGTTTTTCCATTGAGGACGGGGCGGGATCTGAAGCTGGGACATGAGTTTATTGTAAAAATGGCAAGCGAAATTGTGACACAAAATGGCGGCAGCGTGAAAAATCATAAAAAGGAGAGCCCGCACACACATAAAGAAGCTGTCTGGGAATACAGAAAAACCATAACGCACTCAATAAATGTCGCTCCGATGGCGAAAGTGTTTCTCTTTTTTGTCCCACTTTTTTTTTGCTTTATTTTCCTGCGACAAACAAATGCCACGCACATTGTTTGGCCCCGGGGCCACAGAAGCGTTCAAAAGTTTAATAGGTGAGCGGGATGAATGGCTGCTGCGCTGGCAGTGCTTCAGATTTCTATTACCCGGGCTACTTACAGTTCGTATAAAAGTTATATTGCGAAATAAGTACTGAATAATTGAATAGCCTGACAGTATTAGGGGCATTATTTTGGAAAGATGAAGTACAGTGGCAGGGATGTATTTCTTCATACGGATTTTTCAATTTCCGGCGAGAACTCCTCATAAAACTTCGTACTCTTTATATATTTCATGACTCCTAATAACCTTGTCCAACTTTCGCTTGCATCCTTCCACTGGGGCAAGGCGCCACTACATCAGCTCCGACTTATCCAATTGTCCCTCGCAAATATAATTTAAAGTTTGACGTCCTACAATGCCAGAGTCAATAATAATGACCATATAACCAAATTTACCCAGCGCCCAAGTCGAGTTTAATGGCTAAGCGGAGTGGGAAAGGAGCAAAAGTGGAAAGGAGTCCTCCTTCTGGGTCGAAGCTCCATTCTATGCAAACAAGGCCAGCCAACTGCTGTCAGCAGCCGTCCAGCCCAGACCAACCCGCAATCTCTTTATGTTATCTGCAGCCAATTTTCTAGAGATTTCTCACAACAGCATAAGGACGAAGGATCCGCTGGAAGGGCGGGGCAGTCCAAGTGCGGGGGCGTTGGACAGCAGGCCATTAAAAATAAATAAAGATTACGACGCGCTGAGCGAGTTGATTTATGTAACGCCTCAAAATGGACTCCTGGGAATCGAATGGCGGTGTGGGGGAGGCATGTGGTCATCCTTGCGACTAAAACTGTCGCATAAATATCGAGTTATTTTTATGGCCCGGTCCCACATGGCGTATGCGTTATGCGATTTACGCTGACTTGTGAATTGACTTTACCTCCCCCGCTTCACACTCCCCACCCCTGATTCCGCATCTCATCTCGACTCGCTTTCCTTGCAGAATGTGGGACGTGTCCTGCGACGAACCCGCCTGGCCGATCAGCTGGAGCTGAAGCAGGTCACCGTACCCATCGGCGTCCTTCTGGTCATCTTCGAATCCCGTCCAGACTCGCTGCCGCAGGTGGCCGCTCTGGCAATGGCCTCGGCCAATGGACTGCTTCTGAAGGGCGGCAAGGAGGCGGCCCACAGCAACAAGGCGCTGATGGAGCTGGTCAAGGAGGCGCTGGCAACCGTGGGAGCGGAGCACGCCGTGTCCCTGGTGAGTGTGATTTGGGTTAAGCCAAAAAAAACAGTGGTCGGCGAAATGGTAACAAATGAATATAAATTATTTAAAAGTCATATCTAAAGGCAAACATATTGAATGTTTCAGAAGCTATAATCACGACCTTTTTAAAGCTGTCTCTTGAGGGACAGAGTGGAAAATAAATCTTTAATTTTTGTTGGCAAAAAATCTAGTATGAGTCTAAATTCCAGTTTATTGCAGTGTTAAATATCTTGTATGCCTTTAAAACTCATTTTCGCTTTGTTTTCGAAAAATGTGTAGCCTAAGGAAAAATCAAATGTATGACTTTGTAAATTGCTTAAGCTTAAAGAAAACCAAATTGTCTTTTGAACTTATTAAGATTATTCAATCAACAAAAAGCAAAGCCATACAAAATTGTACAGTTTGCTTTTGTAAGATTATCTGGTCAAAGCAAAAACATCATTTTGGCATTTCAATTATATTAAACTAATATTTTTGTAGTTAAACTAAAGATACTCTGGAATCCTTTACCATAAACTTGATATTGTGTTAGGCATTTTTGACCTCACAAAATAGACGTCAGTTAATTTTACTGTTGGCAATTAGGATTGATTGCGATGATAGACTTTCTTAATTAAAAAAATTGAAAAACTGCATTGATTAAAAGCAATGTTAGGATTCCCGCTAATCTTTTATTGAAAAAGATTATATTTCATTTTAACAAATTGTGAGCTATCTGTGTTATTTAAAATGATAACAATATTCAAACTAAGCCTGTACTCCTGTTAAAAAAATCCAGACCTCAGGGACTACACAATTTAAAGTAAGAATTTATAATTTTTTTAAAATTAGAGATTTAATTAGCTTAAATGAAGGTCCTTAGTTAAGAATATATTTATCAGCAGAATTAATGAATTATTTGCAAGTCGAAGCATAAATAGAAAAGTTACCACACAAGCTTAAAAACTATGTTTAATTATATTCCAAGTGTAGTTTTTTTAATTTAAATTATATAGAAAATGTTTAACTTTGAGTTCTCTATTAAAGGTTTCTACGCGCGAGGAGATAAGCGACCTGCTCTCCATGGAGAACCACATTGACCTGATCATTCCGCGCGGCTCCTCCGAGCTGGTGCGCAGCATCCAGCAGCAGTCGCTGCACATCCCCGTTCTGGGCCACGCCGAGGGAGTCTGCCATGTCTATATCGACCGGGATGCGGATCTGCAGAAGGCCCTGCGCATTGCACGCGACGCCAAGTGCGACTATCCGGCGGGTAGGCCACAGCCCCACACAATTAACCCATAAGCCGAGCTCCATGATTGTCCTTCGATTTCAGCCTGCAATGCCATGGAGACCCTGCTCATTCACGAGGACCTGATGAGTGGCGAAATCTTCGGTGATGTCTGCAACATGCTGAAGCGCGAGGGCGTCAAAATCTATGCCGGGCCCCGGCTGAACCAGCAACTGACCTTTGGCCCCCCGGCGGCCAAGAGCCTGAAGCACGAGTACGGCGCCCTCGAGTGCTGCATCGAGATTGTGCCCAGCCTGGACGAGGCCATTAATCACATCCATACGTACGGCAGCAGCCACACCGATGTCATTGTTACGGAAAATGGTAACGAAATGTTGGAAAATTGAAAATTAATTTCGATTGCCGGCAATCGAAGTTGAAAAATGGTCTCCCCCACTTTGTCCCCTGTGCATAGTTCCATTCCAATTTGATTTGGTTTTTGTGAGGTAATGAGCATTGCAAACTGCTGGCGCAGGAGTCCTCATAATGGTTATTGTTGCAGATGGTTTGGTTTTGGGGGCTGCGGAGAGGTAGATACAAGCTCGGCATTTAAATGTGAGGCAGATTTCATAAAGGCTGTGTCTTTAACAACTACCATTTAATGGAAAAACAGAGATTAGTAATTCCCCCTGAAAATAATACATAACAAGTTGGCTTGGTCGTGTTCTAGAGTCTACAATTAGAGCACCTCACCCAGGAAATTAAACAGGGAATAGCGTGATAGTTTCCCGTTCAACAGTTAACTGACTTCCTTTGTAAGAGATAAAGGTACTTACAAATAATGTATAATGTATAACCATTTTCCGTTTAAAGGAACGGTGGAATTATACATAAGTACTAAGAAAAAGTAAAAAACGTATCCAATTGTTTTTGCTATTGCTCAGGAATTAACTATTAAAGAGTTCATTTTGTTAGTATTAATTGAAGCGAAGCTTACGGTATGCCATGCTCTTTTTCGCAATTATTCTATAATTTAGTTTTGAAGAATTCCACAGCTATTATTTTAAATGCATGTGCGTTTAAGTACTCAAGTGTACATTTCGTGCTGCAGATGGCATGACCGACCGACCCATACCTCTACAAGTAATTCAATTTGGCCCTCAATGCCATTTCACCATGCACTCCTTCAGCAATTCAGCCATTCTAACTTGAAACCGAAACCAAACCCGAATCCTAATTCAAGTTGGGCAAGTTTAGCGTGCAAGCTTTTGCATGCATGCGCCACCACTGCCCGATCCCCCGCAGCTTGCCACAACAAATTTAAATCATTTGGGAAATTAATTTTATTCAACACTTTCTCCGGTCCGTGTCGGCACTGCACATACCCACATACCCACAGTGCCGCACTGCCGCAGTGCCGCAATTTGTGCAGTTTGTGAAATTTCCACAATTTCCATTTGCAGATGCGGCGGCCAAGCAGTTCCTGGGCAGCGTGGACAGCGCCTGTGTGTTCCACAACGCCAGCTCGCGGTTCGCGGACGGCTTCCGGTTCGGCCTTGGCGCCGAGGTGGGCATCTCCACCGCCCGCATCCACGCCCGCGGCCCCGTGGGCGTGGAGGGGCTGCTGACCACCAAGTGGATCCTCAACGGACAGGACCACGCCGCCGCCGACTTCGCCGAGGGAGGCGGACGCACGTGGCTGCACGAGAGCCTGCCGCTGGACTAAATAATCCAAATCTAAATTGTACTTAGCTGTAGGTCCCCGAATTGCGTTCTGAAGTAGATTGTTGTTCCATCATCTTGGCGAAGTGCATTCTGAGCGAAGGGTAATTACATGGGGGCGGTGCCGGGGAAGGCGCCCCGATGACAGCTGCCGTCGTGGCCACATGGGAGAAATTAATTTGAGTGAAAAATATTTGCCGAGACAACTTGTGTAATTAATAAAGTAAGGGGGAGTGCGGCGTAGTTAAAACTGTCAGCCCTTGTCTTGGGCTGCAAAGTTTCCAGCCAAAGTTCCGGCCCTGCAGATGGAGGAGCGCGGAAAATAAAATTAACTGGAATGCGCTGGAAGAATTTCGCTTAAAGTTTCAATCTTTGCGAGTATTATGTATATACGCATATTCCTATTACAAATCATAAATTAGCCATGGAACGTGAAGCGGAGCTGAGAATAGCCCAGCTCCGCGGCTCCCCTGCGGCATCTCCGATTTGGTATGCAACCGCGTGGCAAGTATTTTAATTTTTATGTGCACTGGCAACTTTCTTAGACCAGCTCGGCTCCCTTTCGCTCTCTTTCACTTTGGCGAAAGTTTCCGCATTGCGTGTTGGCTGCAGAAGCCGTGAAAGCAGCCGCAGATGGAGCTGGGGGCGGAGGGGGCGTGGCACTTGGTTCTGGCACCAAAGGTGGATCGTCCTGTCAACGCGCTAACTTTTTTCGGAGAATTTTTCTTTACAAACTTCTAGCTAAATAGAAGTTGGGGTCAGCCATTGCCAGGGAAGATTCGGAAGTTTCAAAAACCAATACTGGGATGAATCGGCTGTAGCCCACTAGAACACCAAACCGCTAAAGGTAAGATATTTATTTTATTTCACTTTGAATTTATTTCTTTAAAACAAATTCAAAAAGAAAACCCATAGATTTACTTATCAAGAACTAAATTTTAAGTTTACTTTTATCAGTTCGAATTCAGCAAGTTATTCAAACTCTGAAACACCAAAAATTGTTAGACAGATTCAGTATCAGAGTTTAGTTAACATGAGAATTAACCATTTTGAATTTAAGCTGTCTGATTTGATGTTATAATCCTAAGTTATACAGATTTAAATTGCATTGTTTTGAATTTTTTGATTGATTTTAATATTACCCTTGCAAAAAGCATAAAACTCACTTAAACATGGAAAATTAATGGTCCTCGTTATTATTTGACCATATTTAAAGTACTCCCATTTCGCACTTTTCAAGCTACCCTTCATTGTAGTTATCTGCTCTGCCAATGGAACTACAACTTTTTCGGTGGCGAGCATAATTTTTACCTCTTTCAACTGCCGACGCTCGTGCGGACAATGATACGTGGATGTTGTCCGTACCTGATCCGCACGGCAGTCACGTAGTGCTCCGTAGTTGCCGAGCACTTGCCAAAGTTAACGGGGCAGAAGTTCGAGTTCAGAAGTTTGCCCATTTACGGAATGCCCGCGGAATGCACTCTCTGCAGTCAGCCCTCGGATGGGGCACACTTAATTAGAATAGCGGGCATTAATCTTGTGGCTAATGCCACGTTGAGATCGAGCGATATCGGTGGACAGGCGCAAAATTGCCGAATGCACTCGTTCCTCCCGCCGTCCCTTCGCTTCCCTCTGGGCTGCCAGAAACATTCAAAATGATTTAATTCTATTTTTTCAATTTGATTTCAATGAAATCCACACGACGTCGTCAACATTTATAACATGTGTAAATGCTTTGGCTGCATTTTTGTGTGTGACAACATTCGGGCCACACCATCTATGGACTGAGTGGGGGACCGAAAGAGCATTGGCACAAATTTATCTTACCCGAACAGGGGAAAAGATGCCTGCAGAAACAAGAAAAATAAACAGGCTGTCCACTATATTGTATTGTTCGCGGGTTTTTCATGTTGTTGCTGCTGCCGCAGTTTTGCGGGGGTTTATTTATATAAAAACTTAAAAATATATCAACAGATGCCTATACAAGTCCTGGCGCATATTTTTCTACGTTCTCTTCTGTGTTCTTGTCGAAGTCATAGCAAAGTTGGCAGCCAGACATAATTTAGCGAAAACGAAATGAAACTAAATGATAAATGAATTGTAAGAATGAATCAAATTGAATACCCTGAAGAGTAAAAACAACGCCTAATGTCTAAATGGCGAATAAGTCTAAAAGGCTAATGAAAATAAATTATTCTGTCACGAAACCAACAGCTTAGATAAACACATTAATCGAAGCTCGTTAGATAAATCAATTAATACTGATCTTTGAATTTCTAAAACAGTTTATCTTATATTATTGTGAGCACTTTCTGCCATTTAAGTTTATCTTGAAAATAACTAGATTAAAAGATTGCATTTAGGGAAAATAATGTAAAAATATTGAAATAAAATCCGAATGCCTTTAAGGTGCTAGAAAATCAAACTTTTTTCCATACAAGTTTTATATGTAGTTTAATCAGCTATCTATATTTCGGCAATTAATGTAGCTTTTTATAAAGTTGTCTCCAATAATAGGATTAATATAGTTTCGAGTTTTGAAAGGGTGTGGCAAAAACTAATAGTCTATCTCGGTTAAAAAACGAATCTACAGAAAAATGTTCTAAAATCCCCCTAAAAACAAATTTTGTATTCTCCACAAAACTCCCTAGCAGTTCGAAACCATTTTGAACCGTTGTTAATCAGTAGAAAAGGTCTAGATGATTTTTAAGAAAAGTTCCGTGAAGCATAAGATAATTTTTTAACAACTAAACTAGCTCAAAAACACAATAAGAAAACACGGTTAAGAAGAATAGATAACGATGTAAGGGGCGCCTTCTTCTTTCGGTATTAGTGACAAATTTGTTGGCAGGGAAAATGTATATCTCTATCCACTGATCTGTTTCCCCCCACCTTCCCCACATAAAAGTGATTTCTTTCAATTTTTATTGAGTATTCTTTTCTCATTGATTCTATTTTAGTCGTTTTAAAGAATTTTAGACCAGATCTGGGACTGAAATCTGCTACTATATACACCAAATGAGTTACTATGTAAAACTCAAACTTAATGACGTCGATCAAACCTCAGTGACGTTGAACATCTCAATCTATCCCCCAAATCTTTACCCCGGAGATCGCAATCTAATGAGTTGTCCTAGCCGAAATACCCGAAATCAGAACACTTTAGTACAATCGAAATGATGTGCATCCGACCCTCCGGTTTGTCACCCTCCCCCCGCACGCCTGGTCCCCAGTTGGCGTAGCATATCGCGAAATTCATCAACATGTTACTAGATGAACAATTGTTCAGCACGACAGGGACATGGGCGTGGGGCTGGCGGACAGGGACAGAGCTTATTTAAATGCAGCTGTCGGAGCGCAGAACGAATCACTCTGATTGCTGTCGCTGTTGGATTTACACGTCGTGAGTGTCGCCCTGTCCGCACATCCGTAACTTGCAGAAAGGATAACCGATCTGTCTGTAAATAGTATCCTTGTAGTGCCGCCCGAACCAAACTAGCCAAAAATGTGTGACGAAGAAGCATCAGCCCTGGTGGTGGACAACGGCTCCGGCATGTGCAAGGCCGGGTTCGCCGGAGACGACGCGCCCCGCGCCGTGTTCCCCTCGATCGTGGGCCGTCCCCGGCACCAAGGTGTGATGGTGGGCATGGGACAGAAGGACTGCTACGTGGGCGACGAGGCGCAGAGCAAGCGCGGTATCCTCTCTCTGAAGTACCCCATCGAGCACGGCATCATCACGAACTGGGACGACATGGAGAAGGTCTGGCATCACACCTTCTACAACGAGCTGCGTGTGGCCCCCGAGGAGCACCCCGTCCTGCTGACCGAGGCGCCCCTCAACCCCAAGGCCAACCGCGAGAAGATGACCCAGATCATGTTCGAGACCTTCAACTCCCCGGCCATGTACGTGGCCATCCAGGCCGTGCTCTCCCTGTACGCCTCCGGCCGTACCACCGGCATCGTCCTGGACTCGGGAGACGGTGTCTCGCACACCGTGCCCATCTATGAGGGCTACGCCCTGCCCCACGCCATCCTCCGTCTGGATCTGGCTGGTCGCGATCTGACCGACTACCTGATGAAGATCCTCACCGAGCGCGGCTACAGCTTCACCACCACCGCCGAGCGTGAGATCGTGCGCGACATCAAGGAGAAGCTGTGCTATGTGGCCCTGGACTTCGAGCAGGAGATGGCCACCGCCGCCGCCTCCACTTCCCTGGAGAAGTCGTACGAGCTGCCCGATGGCCAGGTGATCACCATCGGCAACGAGCGCTTCCGCACCCCGGAGGCCCTCTTCCAGCCCTCGTTCCTGGGCATGGAGTCGTGCGGCATCCACGAGACCGTCTACCAGTCGATCATGAAGTGCGACGTGGACATCCGCAAGGATCTGTATGCCAACAACGTGCTGTCCGGCGGCACCACCATGTATCCAGGTGCGTACTTCCACTTTATGAGAACGCGAACCTGAAAATATGGAAATGGGGTCACGTTTCTATTAAAAAAGAAAGATAATTTCTATTTTTAAATACTGCGATGATTTTCTGAAATAGTTTTATGGGTTTATAAAACTTATTCAATTTATCGAGACCCCAATACATTTTTTTAATTTTCTTTTAGATATTTTTTTAAAAAATAATTTTTTTTTTGATGAATAGGTAGTAATTGAGTTTTAGGGAATAGCTCTTTTTTATTTTACCTTTTACACATGTATTCAAAAGACAAGAAAAAAAATTTTACATTCTTAATTATTTCTTATACAGAATCAGCATAGTATTATTTAAAAAAGGTTATTATTTGCAGATGTTTTTATAAATTAATTATTTGTTTTTTATAAAATAATTAATTTAATTAATTGATTGTTTTTTTTTTAAATTAATAAATTTAAATAATTTAGTATTATAGCCTAGAGCTGCAAGTATAAACGTATCATACCATGGTATTACCAGTGCGGTGGTCACAATGAAGTAGACCCAAAAAAAATATTTTAGTTTTTTCTATTTTTAGTTTTTGTGTTGGTTTTTAAAATTAATTAGTATAAGGTCTCATTGTAAATATGAAGTTGATGTCGAATTTTTTTGACTTAGTAGCATCCCGTAATGCATTCTATTTTTGCCTCTTCAGGTATCGCTGATCGTATGCAGAAGGAGATCACCGCCCTGGCTCCGTCCACCATCAAGATCAAGATCATCGCCCCGCCCGAGCGCAAGTACTCCGTCTGGATCGGTGGCTCCATCTTGGCCTCGCTGTCCACCTTCCAGCAGATGTGGATCTCCAAGCAGGAGTACGACGAATCCGGCCCCGGAATTGTCCACCGCAAGTGCTTCTAAGCACCCAAGCATCTAGCCCAAATCAACATCTCCTCGAGCGCTGCTCTGGTGTTTGTCTCTAGCATAAGACAGTCGACCAGGCACCAGGGACAAGGATGAGGACGCAGTTCAGTGAAAAGTATCTTTAAAATTACATTTAGTTGATGAAGAAGTTTTTAACATAGATAGAGAGGACAAGAGAAAAGAGAAGTGAATAATACCGGAAACGAGCGGCAAAGCCTTCTTTTTATTATTATTGCTATTTTTATTTGATTTGACTCGGAATTTGTATTGCTTTATTCGCTTGCCAGCGAAGAAAATCGCCAAAACAATCGGTTGTAACGTACAATAAAAACCAATAACCCATGTGAATCGAATCGAAGTCGAACGTCACAGGAAAGAGGCGGCAAGGAATGCGTGCTGGGAAACTTTTCTAATTAGGCCTTGGCGAATGTCAATCAGGCACTCGGCCAGCAAAAACTTTTGTTCTCGGACAGCTGGCAATCCAATCTCAGTTCGAGTATCTGTATCTTTGCTCGTCTGTCACATTTTGTTTGTCGTGCCCGGACAAATCCCCACACGCAGCGAGGTTCTGAGGAATGACTTCTGGAGGACAGACATCGTGTTTCCGAATACAAGGAGAGGTGACAGTCTTAACTGGCTCCCAACCGCTCACAGAACTTTCCGCCAACATAAATGTTTGTGCTCAACTTTTGGCTGCAAACTTTTCAGGTTTCGGCAAACTATGCATAAACCAGGTGCCAAAAACTGTTGCTTAATTAGTTAGGGCCAAACTTGCTGCAGTCGCAAAGAAGAGTCTAACTGAGTTTATTGGTTTAATGCCTGCTAAGTCGCCATCAACACGGAAACTCTTCTAATGACTTGGCAGCGACACCAGCAGTTCTTATGTTCCTGGGCACCCGAAACAAGTCCCAAATAATTGTCAACAGTTTCCAATTATGATGTCAGAGCATTGCTGCGGGGGTTTGGGTTAATGGAGCTTAGTTTTAGACCTTCATTGGTCGCCTCACTCGCAACTCCTGCACTCACGTCATCGGTCCATTGGTCATCGGATCCAAGTGCGGTTCATTATCCGCAGTCCAGTGAGGGAGCAGGCAAACAGGGAAATTAGTGCCGGCCGTTGCCATACAACTAAATGTATGGCGGGACTGGCTATTCTGAAATGATTGGGAAAGCCTGGCTGGAAATCGCCACTCAATCAATCAGTGGACACAGCGGGCCAACCAAATTTGCCATGAAGGGCTACAACTGAAGGTTTGAAAGGGGTTACAAAGCCTATAGGGTTATTTAGGCAACATTCAGTGGTAATTGCAATGCCAGAAAGCTTAGAAAAACCGACATTTCTAGTTAAATGGGTTGGTTTATATATTACATTTCATAATATGTTAGTAAAGAGTCTAACGGACAAGAAGTAACTTAGTATCGAAAAAAAACACGTTAATCGTAGAATTTTTGTTTTTTGAAAACTAAGTTAATTAAGATAATCAAAACCTGAATTGCCTTTAAGTATTTATCATTTAGGTACCTCCAAATAAACTCTTTAGCAATTAATCATATAATCTAAGTTACCTTTCCATACAGGATATCATATGGTCTGGCATCGCACTAGCATTTTCCCCTTGTTTTGTTTGGTTATGTTTGCCGTTCTTGTCTGCACATCAAATTGAATTTAATTACGGTCCGGCCAGGGTTTTCATACCACCCCACCTCAAAACAATACTACGTCGACTGTTTGTCTGTTTGTCGCTTCCAGCTTGCGGAAATTTTGCATTTGCTGCAACTGCAACTGCAAATGCAACTGCTCCACAAAGCTGCAAGTGTTGTGTGCGGCTTGTTTATTTTATGCTAATTTAATGCACTTCCCCCATCCACCGCCCTTATTGATACCATTATAATTTGGTGTTAATTCCGAAGGCAAATACTTCAATGTATTTGCTATTTTCATTATGCAGATTTGCCCGGGCGCAAAACAAACATGCTGGAATTAAAGCTAAAGTTAACGAGTTATCTTTCCACCCCTGTAAGCTGTGAGCGAATAAATGTAAGGGCGACGGGTGGGAAGCTCCACAAAAACTTGGACTTGATGGTCGATGGTTTTGACAAGCTAACAAATTGTTTTCCCTGGCTGGAGGTGCACCACATGCGGACAGGAAATTAATAAAGAAAAGGGCTCCACTATGATACCAGACCCCTCAATCTTCATCAGCCTAGGCGTCTTTCCCCATGTCCTATTGGCCTCCTAATGTCCACGCCCTCTCCTTCCTGTGAACTTAACTGACCACAGCAGTCCTCGTAATTGGGGCGACTCCATCAACTTCTTGGCCCATCACCATCCATTTCCGCTGGCTGTTGAAAATTTAAATTTATATGCCAAATGCCTGAAACTGACATTCCCCAAAAAGGGGAAAACTTTAGCTCACGCACAACAGGCTCTCACACCTGCGCACTTTTTGTTCTTAGTAATTTAAACTTAAATTCAATTAATGCACAGCAGGTGCAGGTGTTTTTTCTTTTCCTGGAAGATGGGAAGCCAGAGGAATTAATGGGAAATGGTCGGCGAAATGTCAAAGTTGAGCGATTGCAGCAACCAAACAATCGACATTGATGCATTACTGACTTTCAAAGGATGTGATTAAAGCTTACGCACATAAATCAGAAAGAGCAGTATATTTTTAATGTGATGCTGACAAACAAAGTTTGTTCTAATAAATAACATACATAGCATTACATGAAAGAACGCAGTGAAACAATTTGGGATATGCAAAAAAAGACTTATTGCTTTTTTTACTGAAAGAAAAACTTTTTTAAAGTTTAATAATAGCATGGTATATTCTATTTAGTATGGAGTCATTCCGTGTCAAACGTGCTAACATTTTTTTTAAATAACAAGAAAGGAAAGCTAACCTCGGGCGGAGCCGAAGTTGATATACCCTTGCAGAATATTCTGTAAATTATATTCTCCAAAATCGGATCGGTTATTCATATGATGCATTCTTAATACTCATAAAAAATCCGAACTTCCTAACTTTAAAAATACCAAAGTCGTTCAGTTATTTGGCAGCTATAAGATATAGTCGGCCGATCCTTATGAAATTTGGTAGGTCAGACTGATTGGCCAAAAATACAACCTGTAGAAAATCCCAACTTCCTAACTTTATCCATAATAAGGGTACTTTTTTGGAATTTTTAAATTAAAACAAGAAAGGAAAGCTAACTTCGGGCGGAGCCGAAGTTGAAAAACCCTTCAGAATATTCTGCAAATTATATTCTCCAAAATCATTCATAATGCATTCTTAATACTAATAAAAAATCGCAACTTCCTAACATTAAAAATACCAAAGTTATGCCATTTCCAATCGTTCAGTTATATGGCAGCCTGTAGATTTTAGTCGGCCGATCCTTATGAAATTGGATATGTCGATTTCATATAGGCAAAAATAAAACCCATAGAAAATCCCAACTTGTAGATTTCCAAACCCAAAATGACTTTTTGGTTAGTTATCTTCCGGCTGGATAAAATTTGAAGCTTAGCCTCCATAAATTTACTAGCACCGATATATGTTTGCCTAATACAAAACCCTAGAAAATCCCAACTGCAAAACTTTACAAACAATCAGATCAACATTCTATGAGAAATTATATGACACGCCTTGCTCACTGAAATTTGGTACGTCGGATTGATTGGCCAAATATAAAACCCATAGAAAGTCCCAACTTCCTAACTTAACAAACAGCAGACTTATACCATTTCCGATCAATGCACCCTTATATGGCCCTTCTAGGATATAGTCGACCGATCCCGGCCGTTCCGACTTATATACTGCGTCCAAGGAAAGAAGGGTTTGTGCAAAGTTTCAATTCGATATCTTTAAAACAGAGAGACTAGTTCGCGTAGAAACAGACAGACGCGACAGACAGACGGACAGACGGACAGACGGACAAACGCACAGACGGACAGACGGACAGACGGCCAGACGGACAGACGGACATGCCTATATCAACTCAGGAGGTGATCGACAGTGATGGGAAGTATATACATAATTGATAGGGCGGAAAGGTCTCTTCACTGCGTTGCACACTTTTGACCAAAATTATACTACCTTGTGCAAGGGTATAAAAATCATCTACAATATAGGTAAAAAGAAAACATTCTTAAACAGTTTTCTTAAATAACACTTTACGCCAATATGTTAGAAGAAGAAAATATACAAATATGCTATATTTGTGTTTTTTAGCTGCCTGTATTTTTTGTGGTACATGGAACGATTTTATATATGAAAATGACACCGAAATTGTAGAGTTTAAAAATGACTTTTTGGTTGTTTCTTCCGGCGGGAAAAATTTGAAGCTTAGCCTCCATATTTACTACACCGAAATATTTTTGTAATACAACAAATCAAGTGCAAAACCCCGCAACAACAGATCCATTCTTGAGAAATTATTGACACGCCTTGCTCACTCACACATGCGAGGGAGCGAAAACACACATCACTCACTCACATCCTCCTGACTTGTCCCTACAGGATTCTGCACCCTTTATCCCTTCTGCGTGGGCAGGTTTCGGGCTTAAGCCCCATGAATGAAGCGATTATCGCATCTTTGTCAGCAGCATCGACAGGAGCAGTTGAGGCAGGCATCCGCTGCCGACATGAGCCAGCACAAACAAACCCCAGAGGAGGAACCCCTCCCCGGGTTGCCTTATCAAGGTATCGACAGTGATGAGAGGTATCTACAAAATTGAAGAAAGGTAGTACAGGTACAATGTTACTATTGTGATTGAACTATCTTTACTAAGATAAACTTAAATTTATTTTGCGTTTAAGCTTAACAAGAAAGGAAAGCAAACTTTGGGCGGAGCCAAAGTTGATATACCCTTGCAGAATATTCTGTAAATTATATTCTCCAAAATTATTCATTGATGCATTCTTAATACTCATAAAAAATCCCAACTTCCTAACATTAAAAACACCAAAGTAATGGCATTTCCAATCGTTCAGTTATATGGCAGCTATAGTATATAGTAGGCCGATCCTTATGAAACTTAGAATTTCAGATTGATTGGCCAAAAATAAAACCCATAGAAAACCCCAACTTCCTAACTTTACAAACACCAAAGTTATGGCCTTTCCGATCGTTCAGTTATATGGCAGCTATAGGATATAGTCGTCCGATCCGGCTCGTTCCGACTTGTATACCTGCAATAGAAGGACAACTTTTGGGAAAGTTTCAAGCAGATATCTTTAAAACTGCGTAGAAACGGACGGACGGACGGACAGACGGACGGACAGACGTACAGACGGACATGGCTAGATCGACTCTCCTGGTGATTCTGATTAAGAATATATATACTT